TACATAATCTATTTTTATATTACTGAACACTAAAACTATAGGGGCCTCGTCTTAAAAGTCCAACAGGATTTCCAGAGGTCTCTAGCCCGTTTATATATTCTTAAATATTCAACTTGTAAATATTATTTGTGGGTAAATAAAACTAATCTAAAACTAATCTAACTTTATATTTGTTGACATGTTAATTGGCGTATATATTCATATAAAATAGCGCGTGGAAATTATTCTGCAGAATTAAATAAAAATAATCCGTATTATAGAGCATTTACCCAGATTTTACGAAGTTGTAACTTGTAAAGGTGCAATCACTTTTATGAAACAGTATAAAACAGGAAAACCTAATCAAAATCTCGCCTATATAATATATTTTTACAGTCGAAGGGTCAAAGGCATATTGCTATAAAATGTCAACACTCACCATCATCGTCTTCAAGAGATAAATATTCCATTAATATCTCTAATTCCTCGCACGATTCAGACAAAACACTTCCCATGTACAGCAAAGCACCGCTATCGTCCAAAACATCCACGATTTCTTCCATATTCGACGAATTTTTAGGTTTTCGAGCACATTTGCAAGTTTTCGAGTGTTTTTGCAAGTTTTCGAGTCACGATTTCACAGTCCCTCAAATCAGCGCTGCTCAAATTACGCGACTGCGCGTACGAATGAGGGACTGTGGAAGAGTCAGTGTTTTCTATATGACTCCGTGTTTTCCATATTTTTTCTCTGACGTCAGACTCCGTGTTTTCCATATGACTCCGTGTTTTCCATATTTTTATGACGTCAGACTCCGTGTTTTCCATATTTTTATGACGTCAGACTCCGTGTTTTCCATATGACTCCGTGTTTTCCATATTTTTATGACGTCAGACTCCGGGACTCCGACTCCGGGACTCCGACTCCGGGGCTCCGACTCCGGAACTCCGACTCCGTGTTTTCCATCTAACCGATTTGCCAGTAATTATTCTTGCCGCTCTATTTTGCATTTTTTTGCATCTTGTCGTGCAAGTAATTGCTGCAATTTTCCCAAACTAGACTGCAATAATCAATAAAAAGGAAATATCAATAAAATAATGCACACTAAAAATTCTTAATTTGTTAAAAATTCGGAAAAAAAAATACCGGTGTGTGTGAAAATATTGCTGCAATCATTATTGCGTAAAACGTGCCTTTCTGACCGATAGCTACTAATAACGAACAGAAATCCTCGGCAGAAATCAGTCTCAAAGTAATAAATATTTGTCCGAAAAATAGAAATCAAACCTAGAATTGTTATTGTTGAGAATATTAAATGCCCATCTCTGTTTATTGTTGAAAACATGACAATCAAAATATTAAAGTAACAAACAGTTAATTGGCTTCCTTGTTTTTACCGACTTAGCTACTCTTGAAGTGCAAAGGATAATTTTCAATTCCCGTTAGAAGTTGGTATTTTTAATAGCATCACTTTAATACAGACAGTTCTTTAATATTGATCCTTTCTCACACGAAATATTTTATAAAAAACCTGGTAAAAAGCTTTTATAGCGCGTGATAATATAAACCTTTCACTCAATTAAAATGACAAAAATACAAACAAGTTAGAGT